AACCCCATTTCAAGAACAGAATAAGTTTCGTGTTGCACATCAGATAACTCCTGTGGCTCCCTTGAGAAAAAGAGGGCTCCCAAAACGCATACAAGATGTTCAAGTAGCTACCGGTATTCCAACTAAATCTCCACCTTCTGCTCTAAATAGACATAAAAAAGGTTCCTGACTCCTTGCCGAGACGTCTAAGAAGTCAGAGGGGGAGTTTGTAATGGGTGGCTTATTTGTAGCACTAGATGGCGCTACCCCTCTACCCCAAAGACGATAACAACTATCTTTTTCTGACTTAATATATGAGATGACGCAGGACGAGCTCTGCGAACCACCCTGGTTCCCCCTTTCCTACTCATTTGAGTAAAAACTTTCTAGTTAAATGTTTAATGTGATTTTATAATTAAAAATATTGAGCTCATAGTGATGATATTTTATTTCGTCATCTTGCGTCTACATATATATGTAAAGCATTGAATTTTTTTTTTATTTCAATCAGATTTTATGGAATTAGGGTATCCCTTTGGTTTGGCGACTAATTTCAATTGTTAAATGTTGCTAAAACTCAGTTTCTGGTTACTACCATATTCTTTTCTTTAATGATGTCAACGTCAAGTTACCACAATTTCTATTAACGGTTATGAGATTAATCCTTAGTTTGTTTTCGTATGTTCATACATAGACATGTTTACAAGTCACCAAATACTTAGAGGGGCTCCCGATTTTAAAGTTCTTTACTCATTTATTGATTAAAATTCTGATTAATGTGTTTAAATAATACTTAATAAGATAATTTAGATCAGAAATCATTTTTAAATTAAATTGTTATTAGCAGAACAAGATTTAATCTTTTATTACAAGTGTATACATTAATTCCATATTTAATAAATTGTTTATATTGAAATGAATATGGGTAAAATTAAAATATATTTATTGATTTAAAAAAAGTAAATTATTTTGCATACCACAACGAGCAAATTAAAACATGATTATCATTTAAAAGTTATATTCTTACTTTTCCTTTGCCATATGAATTATTTCTAGAGTATGGAAATATATCTTATTTATTGTAAGTGTGTGCGTATGCTGTATATGAGTGGAAGAGGCATGGAGAGCTGTGAACGATGACGAAATGTGAAAATAACAATACACCAAATAATAATTTTTTTAATTTATTGTACCTTTTTTTATAAATTATATATACAACAAATTCTGAAAATATTAATCTCTTAGTGCCATGCAGTGTACAATACTTTTTGTCATTCCATCTTTAGCTAACACAAATGAACTGGATGGTTTGCCCACTCGAGAGCATGCCACGTATAACTAATTGTCCGTGTGAAAAACATGGTGTGCTCAAATCAAAGCCACAAACAGACATTGTTTGGCCTTGAAATTTATTAATAGTCATTGCAAATGCCAATCTAATGGGGAACTGAATGCGTTTAAATTGACTTGGCACATCTGTGGGTATAATAGGGATTCGTGGAAGTAATATAAATTAATGATTGTATGTGTAAAATGTTTTTTAATTATGCCAACCTTGCTTTTTTTTTCTTGACATAATCTGCTGCAGTTCTAAGGGATTGCCCCCCCCCCACACACAAATTTTAAGTTGGCAATAATTGAAATTTTTAATATACAGTGCACTCCCGATTATCCTGGTTGATCACCGGGACAGGTCACACGGACAATCGAAAAACACGGATAACCCGAAAACTTCTTTTTAATAGAGAAAAAATCCATATCAGTACAAAAAATATTAAAATTACTTTCATTTGCATCCCGTATAACATCAAACTAGGAATTTTCATTTTAAAAAAATGTGTAATACGCATATTGACACATATTTTACGAACCGTAGTTAAGTTACCGTAATCAAATACTCCTATATAATCTAATAAAGTTTCAACAGATTGTAGAGCAGCAGAAATTGTATTTCCCTCATTTATTACATCTTCTGCATCTATTACTATCATCACTATTTGATTTAACAACATAACGATGTCTTTATCTCTCAAATACTGGAAGCCAGGCTCACATGCATCACTTTGAAACCTATCTTTTAATTTTTCTTCATCAAGAATTTCGAAACCTTNCCGGGGCGTGACTCCCTGTGTTTACCTAAAGAAGGTAAACCCCCTCAGGGGGAATATCTGAAGAAGGATATCAGGGATGCCAACTTGCTCCGCTCTGTAAAATAATATTTTCTAGTGGTACCGAAATTTAAGTTACTTTTAGTTTAGTATTTTTCATTTTATGTAGTTTTATCACCACTAAATATCAAAAATTATAAGTATCATATAAAATGCAACGTTTTACCATCGATCTCTCCACCATGCGATCATTGGATCTCCCAGAGTACGGTTGTGTTGTAACCAAGCTCCGGCAACGATGACTTCAATTAGATTCGGCCGCGGTGGGAAGGTGTTCCGACCCAACCGCGTACCTGCAATCCACGTTGACATAGATGCGATTGGGAAAGAATCGAAGGACTATTTTACTGCCAGTTTGCCAAAGATTTTGCTTAACTTCGATCAGGAGTTCGCTGACGCAGAAACGCATGCACGCAACATTGATGATGAAATAAAGTGTGCACGTAGCAGAAAATCGACGACAAAGACTATCTCGAGAACTGCTACAGAGTGAAATTCCACTTCGAGGAAATGCTAATTCTAAAAGCATCCAGAGACAATAAGAACGCTGAGCCAGCAGCCGAGCCATTAGAACCCTCAGAGCCAATGGAACCTGATATGACTACAGATCCCACAGCGAACATAGAGCCAACGCTGCCTGAGCCTTCACCCGACATCATTACTGATATTCCCACTGAGCCTGAGACAGAATCACCTGCCCAGGAAATAGAACCAACGAAGGAGGAAAACACCGAGCCTCCAAAAAAGAAGAGAAAGAGGAAAAAGAAAAATTCTCCTACTACTACTACAGAAAGTACGGACATCCCCCCTACTACCAACATCCCAGATCCTGTAGCCTCACCAGTGGAGGAGACCACAGAAAAGATACAACCAGAAATTCTACATAAGAACAGTAGAAATTTAAAATTCCTCATCAAAGGACTCCCATCTGAAACCAAGATTTCGGTCTTGGAAGAAAATCTCACAGCTATTGGTCATCGGCCAATCAGAATGGAACAGTTCAAGAAGAGGCGTGACGAAGGGTACAAGCTCCTCCCCCTTTTCCTGATCATACTTCCAGACAGCCCTATGCATAGGGATTGCATCAACATCAAGGAGATTCTCCATACTACTGTGCAGATAGAGCGATTCCGTGGAGGTCGCTATGAAGTGCAATGTTTTCGTTGCCAAAAATTTGGCCATACACAAAAGAACTGTACCGATGATCCTGCATGCATGAAGTGTGCGGGAGCTCACTTTTCGTTTGAATGCTCCAAACCCAGAAGTCTACCAGCCACCTGCATTAACTGCAATGGAGCGCACCCGGCCTGTTTTACAGGCTGCAGTGCTAGGCCTAGGAGGAAGCCAAAACAGAAGAACAAGCAGCACAGGAGTGCTACTGATTCAGCCAACCGATTCCTGCAGATCTTCCAAGAGCTGCAAGACCTACTTCAGAACGAGGAGCTAGTGCAGCTTCTCAGACCCCTACTACCCGAGAACAAGTCTTAGTGAGCATCACTACTCCACCATGCCGACTACCCAGCCCAGTCACCATCTTTTACATCTACTTCAGTCTTTAATATTACTCATTACTTCCAATGCCATTAGTCTCAGTCGCCCTAGGGCATAACACAGATCAGAGGTCTGGTGCCCGCTTGCGCGGGCAGGTACCTTGACAAAATTACATGATCTAGCTAGCCATCAATCTACTGGATACTCTATTAAAAAGTAGGCGTAACTATCCTTCTTAAATAATTTGATACCACTTTATTAAAACTATTCTGGAAAGCGGAACAGTTGGCATCCCTGGGTTATTCATCAAGCGGTATGATCTTTTTCCATGATCGTGATAACATAGACGATTTTACCTTTGATTGTGCTGCTGATATTCCATATACTGCAATCCAATAACGAATATTGCTTTCCAAAGATTTGGTAGTGTTATAACTTCATGGATCAAATTTTTTAAGTCTTGAGACTTTTTCTCTTTAAATTTTTTGTACGACTCCCGAATGAGAACGGATAATCGAGAGTGTACTGTAGTTAATTTTTATGAAATCAAAGTTGAATTAATGTTATCATTTTGAAAATTACACTCCATATTTTGCTAAATCTTGGGTATGTTTTCCTGTTCCTGGGATATAATATTCAACATATTGTTTTAACTTATACTTTTGTTTTTTTTTATGTTGATTCCAAGATAGTAACTTGGTTCTCCCAAATTTTTCATTTCATACTCTTCCTTTAGTTTTTCTACTATTCCATTTATTTTGTCTTCATTTCCAGCTATCAGTATATCATCCACGTAGACTATAATGTAAGTTGATTCATTTTCTTTCTTATGCTTGAAAAGACATTGTTCGGATCCACCTTGAGTAAAGCCTAGATCTTTCAAAGAGTTGGCTATTTTTGTATTCCATGCTCTAGCTGCTTGCTTGAGACCGTAAATAGCTTTGTTAAGTTTGCATACTTTCATTTCTTGCCCTGGAATTACGTAACCTTCTGGTTGTCTCATATAAACATCTTCAAGTTCACCGTGCAGAAATGCGGTTTTTACATCGAAATGGTTTACTGTTAATTTTTCGAGTCCAGCTTTGGCTAAGAAAGTTCTTATGGTAGTGTAAGATACTATTGGCGCATAAGTTTCATAAAAATCTTCTCCAAATTTTTGTGAGAATCCCTCTGCTACGAGACGGGCTTCATATGTTTCAATTTCTCCTTTGTTGTATTTTCTTTTAAATGTCCATTGACTTCTTATTATTCTTTGATTTTCTGGAGGTCCGACAATTGTCCAGGTTTCATTCTGTCTCAGTGATTTAATCTCCTCTTCAGTAGCTTTTAACCAGTTCTGCTTTTCTTTCATATTTTCCATATTCACTGTATCTTGCCAATTTGATGATTCGTTCGTAATCTGTCTGGAGGTACTCCCATGTTAGTTCTGTCTGATCTGCGAAATTGATTGGTGTTTGCGCCACTTGATGTGTCAACGTCTTCTAACTGGTTTCCAATTTCTATTTCAATTGTATTATTTTTATCTCCATTCTGTGTTTCCTCAATGGATTCTTGTTGATGAGTTTCATTTTTAAGAGATGCTTGCTCGTTATTGCTTTTAGAATATAGAAATTTATTCTCTAAGAATTTAACTGTGCGTGCAATTGTAATATGTTTTCCTTCGTGATGTATTCTATAACCTCTTGATCTGTAATCGTATCCAACGAATACCCCTGCTTTTGCTTTGTTATCAAGTTTTGTACGTTGGGTTGATTGAATGTAGAGTTTAATGGCACAAAATCCAAATGTGGACATGCTGCGCCAAACAATATGTTTATACATGTCAAAATTGAAGTGCATACTTATTTTCCTAAATATAATTAAAAATTGATAAAATCATATACAAACAATCAACGGTAGTATTGAAATAAAATCACGTCAAAGTTAAAACACAGTAAAATAGTATAAAAGTAAGAATATCCTTCTAAAAATGAATAAATTCATGAACAGAATAAACTTATATACAATTTAAAATGCCAATAGCACGTAAAAATGCAAAAATGTTCGGATGATGAGAGTCACCTAACAAATCTCCCATAGATAAAATAGAACTGCCAAAAAAGGCAAGACGATGTCTGTTAAAATACGGGCAAGTGATTAAAATATGGTGAATCGAAAGTAAAACATCACAAGTGTTGCATTGAGGAGGTGGTTCACCAAACAACAAATGTAGATGGGTCAGTCTGGTGTGTCCGATTCGCAGACGGGTAAGCTTAACATCTGCACTACGTAGTCGCAACACAGGGAAGGGTTCCAAATTTGACTTATGAGCGTGCAACTTATTATTCANCAGTTTTTAAATTTAAACTATATTTAATTAGCTAGTGTAACAAAAGGTATAATAGCAGATGATAAAGCAAAGTAAGTGACTGAAAAAGAATTCACTTTTTGTGTTTGGCGCAAATTAAGGGTTGTCTCAATTTCAACAACGGAGATGTTTCTCTTCTAACTCCCGCGCTGAAATGAACTCTGCGTCCCAGGAGGCGGAGCCAAGTCTCAACTTCTGGTGAACGAACTATAGCTGTGTGCAATGCCTCACCACAGAAATGATGTGGAAGGTTTGTCTGAGTTCGTAAACCTCTACCCATTTCAATTAAGGATCTATTCTTTCTTTCAGCAACGCCATTTTGACTGGACGAATATGGTACTGTTGTTGATGGTTAATACCCATTTCTCTTAAATAGTTTTCTGTTTCTTTGTCGAGGTATTCCCCACCATTATCAGTTCGTAAGTTTTCGGGTATCTTGCCAAATTTATTTCCCACCATGGCTATGTAATTGTTTAATTTTAGTTAGTGCTTCGGATTTTTTCGATAAAAGGTAAACAAATGTATATCTACTGTAGTCATCGATTAAAGTTAAAAAATATGATTTTCCCCTTATCGTCTGAGTTTTCATTGAACCGCAGATATCACTGTGTATAAGTTCGAGACATTTAGTAGCTCTGTTTTGAGTTGATTTAGGATACGGATTGTCTGTGAGTATACTTTGTACGCAATTTTCACATACATTATTGTGTTTGCATCGACTTAAGTCAATTCCGGTAGCTAAATCATTTAATTTCAATTTTCGATCGAATTATAATTCTTGTACCCTAGTCTTCTGTGCCAAATCTCTATACAATTTTTGCTATCGCAAATGTTGGTTAATTTAGCATACTCTTGATTTGTTTTGTTATTCAATTTCACTTCGTACAAATTATTTCTTTTTATTCCCTCTAAATAAACTTCCTGATCATGAATTACCATGCATTTGTTTTCGCTAAATGTTACAGTGTATCCGTTTTCTGTTGCTTTGGTAACTGACAAAAGATTAGTTTCAATGTCTGGTACATAGCGAACATTTTGTAGTGTTATTTATTTTATGGCTTGATGTCTTAGTGATAATTTCAGCTTCTCTCGAGCCGTATGACATCAGTGTGTTCCCATTTGCTATGATGACTTCACTTTTGTTTGTGTCAGTTATTTTAATGAATGATTCCTGATTGTTAGAAATAAGTGATGAACTACCAGAGTCAATGATCCAGTTTTCTTTTTCTGATTTCGAAGTTAAGAAAGTTAAGTTGCTCATTTTATTTTCTACTTCATGTCTATTTTGCGTATTGCTCTTATAGTTGTTCTCACCTCTAGTATTTTTACATAAGAGGGTTTTCTTTTGTTTGGGTGTTGTTTTAGCTTTTGGTAACTAAGAGTTTTTTTCAAATGCCAACAATCAGCATTATTGTGTTTTCTAAGCTTGCAATGTTTATTACTTTCCTTCTTATAATTATTATTATATTTTCTGTTGATTTGAAATGCTTTGTTCGGATTTTTCGACGCGTAGTTATTTTCTATTCTTCTATTATACTCGTCTACTAGTTTACTTCTTATAAACTCGGAATTTAATTCTGTTTCGGGCCTAGCTTCCAATGCTGTTATGAGTGTGTCATAGCTTTGTGGTACTGAGCATAATAAAATTGCTGATAAATGAGAATCGCTAATTTTTTCATCTATCGCTTTAAGTTTGTTTACAATCTCTAAAATTTTAGTAATGTGAGTTATCATATTTCCCCTTTCCTCTAATTTCGTATTGTAAAGTCTTCTTAACAAAAAGAATTTGCTAGATAAGTTGCTTCTTTCGTGTATTAATTTTAATGCATCCCATGTTTCTTTAGCAGTTTCTTTTTCACGGACGTGAACTATTTGATTATCATCAATGCATAAGTTTATTAGTGCGCTTGCTTTTTTTTTATCTTTTTTACTCCAACCTGCTGTAATGGGATTTGGAGGTGTATCTGTTACAATTTCATACAATTCCTCCTTATTGAGCAGCATTGACATTTTAAAACTCCAATGACTATAATTGTGTTGATTTAGTTTTTCTATCAATTGAGAGTCTCTTGATAAAGCCATTTTTAATTTTATAAAATAATAATTGCTTAGAATTTCAGCCAATATTTCTATTTTATATACTCATTCAATGTAAACACTTTTATTTATTACACTACACTTTCATTTTTATCTATCCATTTTTATTCTTATTTCTTAGCAAATATATAGAGTTATTGTCTTATAGCTATATAGTAAGTGTGCTATAATCAATATATTCTAATATGAAATGTAGTACTTCTCATGTAGTATATTCTTTCTCAAATAATATATTTATAATTTTTGCACACTATATTTATTTTATACTTTCAGTCTCATAATCTTGATAGGAAAAAGGTAGTAAATCTTACCTTGAAAAGGCTATGAGTACGATGAATGGCTGAAAATAAGTACTTTGAAATTGCAGGGTTCATACAGAGATCAGAAGAAAAAATCCAAGGAGTCCAAAATATTAAGGACTTGTCATAATTTAAAAAATTTCACTTAAAAGATAGCTAGATTTTTTTATAGTTAAAAAGCAGTTATTACGAAGAAAATAAATAAAAATGCTTATTTTGCACAAGATACTTTTTTCTCATCCTCTCAAATTTAGACTTTGTCAAACTTCACCAAGAAAAATAAATAAAATCAACACCTTCATAAATTTTCCAATTTCAAATATTTTAATAAATCTAGAGTAAGTGTATAAAGAGAAATTAAAGATTAGCATAAAAATCTGACCAAGCATATGTTTTGAAATCAATCTGAATACATAAGAAAATATAAGGCATTTTGTACAAAAATAATAAATAAGCAAATAACAAATCATTAACTAAGTTTGCTTGTAACATGGAAAATTATTTTTTTCGTCCAACTCTAGCAATTCTATTTTTTTTTTCTTTTAAAGTTTTTCTCAAACTATTTGACTTTGTCAGCAAAGTCATGTCGTTCAGTTTCTCTGCTTTGTCAGCAAACTCATCAGCGGATTTTGTGAGTTCAACAATACATCGCTGTAAATATTTCCTCTTTCTGTTTACTTCATTTAGAGAATCCTGGTTATCAAATTTCCATTTTTTTGAACTTTCAACTTTTTTATCTTCTTCAAGATACTCGTTGTATCGTTGCCTTGCCATCATAACAGATTTTCTCAGTTCTTTATTGATGATAACCTTTGTTACATCACCACCCAAGCCATTGATATGATCACAAATAGTTCGCAGAGCGATATATGAGTTCTCTTTCAAATTTTCCATTTCTATTTTCTTATTAACACTGAAGCTTGTCCATGACTCAACAAAAGAAGCTTTTGGATGCATGGCCAAACTTTCGAATGTTTCTCTTCCAAATAATGAGAAAAAAATTCATCCAACCTTATTTTTTCTTGATCAAAATTTAAAAAATCTGCAATATTTTGACTAACTGTTTCATTGATGAAATCAGAAAAATCATCATGAACTACATCACAATCACAGATTTTTATAATATTTAAATCTGCTAGGCTATGCAGAAGACTTCTCATTTTCGTCAAGCACCCTTGTTTATCTTCAACTAATTTTTTTGGAGTGAGACACGGCATGTTTCGAACAATACTAAACTTAGCTGGCGACTTTGAAATAATGACCGATACCATCTTTACAAGAGCAGACTTTAAATCTTTACATAAGGATAAGATTTGGCCATCTTAAATTTTTTTCGCCGAATATAACTTTTTCAATAGGAATATGGGTTTATGGATTATCATGCTCTATCTGTAATAACTTAAGAACAGATACGCCGTTAAAAAGCTTAGGATTCAAGAACCTTTGCATTAATCTAACCAAAAGTTTCTTGAGATCTTCAGCCATAAATGGGGTCAAAGGTTTGTCCGACTGATAGGTTTTTAGCAAAGGCTCTACGGTTTTCGCTATACTTAAAAATATGTTCAATTTCACGGGAAATAAAACATCTTTAACATTTTATCGTATGTTTTGAAATGATTTCGTTGGTGGCTCTTAAAATTTCCCCTTTTCCATGTCTTTCACATAAGTATGTAATGCAGAGAAAATGGCTAATGCTCCTTCACATACTATTATATTCTCAAACCATCCATGGGAGACGAATTTCAAGTGGTAACGAGACCCAGATATTGACGCAAAATCCTCTCTCCTAGCAGGAGAATATTTTAAAAAGTGATATATATTAAATAAAAATAATTCTATTTCCCAGTCTAAAGTTTCAAAACCCTTACGAAAGGCATTATGTACAAAATGTAATGAACATGTCCCTATATTTATGAGTTGTTTGCTGAACTCATTAAGAATATGTTCTTCCAATAATTTCAAATTAACAAATGGTCCATCCATCGATAGCTGCAAAGCATTTTTTAAACACAATGGTGAAATTTAATTTAACAGATTCGTAAACATGTCAT